CATAAGCTTTTGAGTTTTAAATTTTTCTCCCCTTCCCTTCCTACTTCCCCAAGATGGCCTGCAATCCGATATAGGTTATACATATACATTCCTATTAAACATTTTCATATTAGTGATGTTGTAAGGAAGAATTAGAACTAATAGGAGGAACCACCAGAAAGAGGAAACAAAACACAACAGAAGAAAAAAAATAGCAAATAGTATGCTTCAATCTGCATTCGAACTGCATTGTTCTTTCTTTGGATGTGGATGGCATTCCATCATGAGGCTTTTGGAGCTGTCTTAGATCCTTGTATTGCTGAGAAGGGTTAAGTCTATCAGTATTAGTCATCACACAACGTGGCTGTTGATGTGTACAACGTTCTCCTGGTTCTGCTCACTTCACTTAGCATCAAACCATACAAGTCTTTTCGGGTTTTTCTGAAGTCTGCCTGTTCATCATTTCTTACAGCACAGTAGTATTCCATTACATTCATATGTCACATTCACAGTTAATGATTACTATCTGTGTCTTTTTCTCCATCCTTTTCCCCCGTTTATGCTTTTCTTTCTCCTTCTCACTAATGTTTTGCTTTTGACCACTGCCTCCCTCAGTTCCACCTCCCTTCTGTTAGCCCCCCTCCCTTTTCTTCTCCTTTACCCTTACTACTTTTCCCTCCCTTCTATCCCCCCACTCCCTTTTCTTTCCCTTTTCCCTCCTACTGCCTATAGGGCATGTTAGATTTCTATACCTAACTGATAATGTTATTCCCTTCTTGAGCCAGATCTGATGAGAGTAAGGTTCAAACAATGCTCATCTCTCTCCCTTCTTTCCCTCTGCTATAATAGGTTTTTGTGCCTTTTCCTGTGATGTAATTTACCCTTGTCTGCCTCCTCCTTTCCTTTTCTCTCAGTACGTTTTCTTAGTGAGATCAGATTAATCCTCTTACTTGGATCCATTTAACCCACTTGATTAGATTTTTTTCATCATTACATCAAAGTCAATTTATACCCTCCCTTTTATGTATACCCCTTTGACATGGTGTAATAACAATGCAGTTCTCAAGAGTTACAAGTGTCATCTTCCCTTGTAGGGATGTAAACAGTTTGCCCTTATTAATAACTTGTTTCTTTCTGTCCCGTTTACCTTTTTATGTCCTTCTTGAGTCTTGTATTTGAAGACCAAATTTTGTGTTGAGCTCTGGTCCTTTTATCAGGAAGGTGTGGAAGTCCCCATTGAATATCCATCTCCTCCCCTGAAAGATCATGCTCATTTTCACCGGGTAGTTGATCCTTGGTTGTAATCAAGCTCTTTTGCCTTACAGAATATCATATTCCACACCCTACGGTCTTTTAATGTAGAAGCTGCAAGGTCCTGTGTAATCCTGACTGTGGTTCCATGATATTTAAATTCTTTCTCACTGCTTGCAGTATTTTCTCTTTGACCTGGTAATTTTGTAATTTGGCTTCTATATTCCCTGGTGTTTTCAATTTGGGATTTCTTTCAGGAGGTGATCGGTGGATTCTTTCTATGGCTATTTTACCCTCTGGTTATAGGACCTCAGGGCAGTTTTCCTTTATTATTTCCTGAAAGATACTGTCCAGGCTTTTTTTCATCATGATTTTCAGGTAGACCAATAATTTTTAAATTGTCTCTCCTGGATTGATTTTCCGGGTCAGTTTTACCAATGAAGTATTTTACATTTTCATCTATTTTTTCATTCTTTTGTCTTTGTTTGACTGATTCTTGCTCTCTCATAGAGTCATTAGCTTCCATTTGCCCAATTCTAATTTTTAACCAATTGTTTTCTTCTGTTAGATTTTGTATCTCCTTCCCCATTTGGCCAATTGTATTTTTAGGGACTTGTTTTCTTCAGTGTACTTTTTTTCCAGTTGGCAAATTGTATTTTTAAGGACTTATTTACTACAGTTAATTTTTGTCCTTCCTGTTCCAAGCTATTGACTCTCTCTTGCAGACCTCTCACTTCTTTTCCCATTTTTTCTTCTACCTCTCTTATTTGACTTTTTAAGTCCTTCTTGAGCTCTTCTAAGAAGGCTTTTTGGGCTTCAGACCAGTTCATATTCCCTTCTGAGGTTCCAGATGTGGGTTTGTTGACAGTGTTGTCCTCTTTAGAATTTCTGCCTTGATCTTCACTCTTCCCACTCTTTAAAGGAGATTGAGCTCTCCTGCTGGGGAGTAGAGGGCACTGACCCAAGCTTTTTGTGTTGGGAGCCTAGGGCCTAGTCACTGGCTTTATGTTCTGGGGCCTCTGATGCTTGCAGTTGGAGGCCGTAGGGTTCTGGCAGCTTACCTGGTGTTGGACTGGAATCAGCAACACTGGAACTCTAGGGGTAGGATTTGGTAGAGTGGCTCCTGGAGATTTCCTGCTCACTCGGGTCTTTTCTTCCTTTCGCTTTCTTCAGCTCCTTTTACGTGGATGTTGTAGGGCGTTTATCCAGCTGGGGCCCCTTGGAGCGCTGCTTTCCTTAGTTTTGCTGAGTCACTGGGAGACTTTGGTGGTTGCTGTAGAATGCCCAGGCACCTGGTGGTTTTCCAAGCTGGTTTCCACCGGTTCCCCCACCCTCAGTGAGGTACTTGGGGGTCCAGGTGTTTGGTGTTTGCCTACTCCACCACTTGGGCTTCAGGATCTCCTCCTGGTTTGCTGAGGTGGTGCTTTCCACTAGCTTGCTGGGATGCCTCCAACACTGTACTGTTCCCTTTCCCCCAGGGTAAGAGGTGCCTTTCCCATTAATCCCTCAAGCTACCTGGGCTACTGGACTGCTGCACCCCATCATTCTTCTGGTTCAGCTGTTCCAGGGTTTTTCCTGGGGTGATATTTTCTCCTCATCACTATATTTTAAAGGGGAAAAGTATCAAACTGAAACATGTCTTAAGTCAGATGACTAGGATGGTGAAGAGATTTAAAACTTCATTTGAAGAACCCTTGGGGAGAAAACTTTGGAGATATTTAGCCTGGAAAAGTGAAGACTACAGTGGGCAGACAGCTGTTGTATGGAAGAAGGATTATGTTTATTCTGGGTTGTTATTGAAAGAAAAACTAGGATTAGCTGGTAAGAGTTATGGGGAAACATATTTTAGTTGAAAGGAAAAACTTTCTAATAGAATTCAAAAATGAGAAATTCTTTGTAAATTTCCAGTAACTAGAAATGTTCAAGCAGAGTCTTGATAACCACCCATAGCAATATTCTAGAAAGAATTCTGTTTCCACCTATATTTGCCAGCAGGCAGTCAACAAGTATTGATTAAACACTTATTATCTACCAGGCACTGTGCTAAAAGCTAGATTGGGATTGACTAGAACCAGTAGAATTGACAGAACCATAAGGTCAATATGGGCAATTACTCATTAGGCAGAAATTGGGTAGGCAGACAGTCTGGTGGACAGTAGGTAGTGAGGCCTTGTAACATCCTACCAGGAGCTTTCTGGCACCTGGCAGGAGGCCAAGGTGCAAAAATGTGCAAAAATGCAGTTGTCTTTAGGGTAGCTTGTAGGTAGGTATTCAGAACCTGATTCCAAGTTGTTGAAAGGGCTGGGTAGGACTTCAGTCCCGGAAGAACTGTGACCTAGGCAGTAAACACTTGTAGGGGTGAGAGAAGAACTCTGTTACTGGAATTGGGGAGCAAGACAGGAAACCAGTTATAACTAATCTGTAGGTACAGACAGCATAAAATGCAATAAAGACCGTAATTATTAGTGGCCAAAGCTGAAAGGGCGTGGGTGTGTGTGAGAGAGAGAGAGAGAGAGAGAGAGAGGGAGGGAGGGAGGGAGAGAAATCAAAGATATATTTGCAAAGTATTGGTGGGGAAAATAGCAATGTTGTCATTCATAAGGAAGTGGCACACTAATTTTCATTCATTTAACAGTCTTTTAAACACCTGCTGTGAGATTGTCACCTGATTCTTCCCTATCTCCATGCTTTTGCACAGCTTGCATCTTGCATTTCCATGACACCAGGATTCCTGCTGTTGACAGGAATGATTGGCCACATCTAAAAAGATAAGATTTAATTAGTATGAATACAAATATAATTAATGTAACTTAACTCTGCTTTAGATAGAAAGATACGTTGCAGTGGAGAAGATAAAAAGATAAATAAGACAAGTTCCTGCTTTTAAGGACAATATATTAAATTTGAATATGATGTCTGTACATAGAGTCATTGATTTAGAGCTAAAAGGACCCTTAGAGATCTTCATGTAGGTCAAATCCCCAGTTTTCTGGTTAGCAAGCTTAGGTGAAGAAAGGTGAAGTAATTTCCTTATGGTCACAAGTAGTGGAGTCAAGATTCATTCCATTCTCTACTGACATCAGTTCTTGGAGTGATGATATCAGATAAGCTTTACACTGAGAAGCTTCTGTGTCTTCTGACTGTAAATCCTGTGCTCTTTCTATTGCTGTGTGGTTTTGCAGAGAGTTTGAAGTATAACCTATGACTTTGGTTTGCCTGACGTACCAGTGACTTTAAGGGCTCCTCAGTGGATGGTGTTGCCTTAAAACTTCAAGTTGCTGGACTCTGGTTTATATTAGTCTTGTCCTACCCACTCACATATCTCATTTACAAAAATAATTAACATTTCCTTAAAATTCATGTTGTGAGTTTTTTGGTTTGGCTTATTTTTTCACTATGTCATACTCACTCATCACTAAGGCTTCATTCAGCTCTTTCTGGCAAGAGCTGTATAATTCTTCCTCTTTGGTTCATGATGTCTTTTTCTGAGAAGATAATATTCTATATCCCTTCTTAAGAGCTAATCAGAGTGAACTGGCTCAGAATGCTCAAAACAAATTTAGACACTTAAGGAAGGCCATGTTAAATAAAAACTATGTCATATGAACAAGCTACATAGGGTTTTAGCATACCTGTCAAATCTAGAAAAGACTGGAATTGAATAGGAAGCATTTTCTTTGTTTCAAATTACCATGGAGTGCAAATTTTAAAAATGTCTTTTAAACATTTTGACTCAATTCTTATTAACATGGTTTTTTTTCTTCTCCTAGATTATTAAGTGTTTCAATACTATCCTTGTGGCCATGAGTGATTCTGTGCCTTCTGATGTAATTGGCCGAAGAATTGATGTTAATGGAGAACTTGCAACAGTGCACTATTTTGGTAGTGTTCCTCCCATAACAGGTAGATACAATGTATTATTATTTTTCTTTATATTGTAAGTATTTCAATGAAGGTTTGTCCTATCAGTAGAAATAGATTATAACCCCTTTATGATACTGCTTCCAATTTTATAGGTTTTTACTATATGGATTTGTCCTGTTTAAGAGACACTATTTGACTTATGGCATCTTTAAATCTAATTAGCCATCTTATAATGCAATTGTGCTGTATCTAAAATGTGGTTTTGTTGACAATAGCTCTATTATTTCTAGAATCTATTAAAAACAAATGTCATTTAACTAAAGGCTTAATTTTCTTTATTTTGATGTGTGATTGGAATTACTTTTAGTTTACTTTTGAAGTCTAAGGGTTTATTTTTTAAAAAGATTTTTAAAACGTTTAGTTTTAAAACTGTTACTGTCATTGTTAAGAAAACCCGATGTACAAAAATTTGAAGTTAAAAAATAGCTAAATTAGAAGATATTTATTTCAGAGACATTGTTCAATTTCAAAATAATTAATTCTGTAGCTCCTTCCATAGAGATTTCTCTCCAGTATTCTCAAAGTAAACAAAAAAAAGGTTGTTTTTCTGGCTTCTTCAAAAACATGTTACGATGTAGTGTATGGGACTATTTCCCTAACCCCTACTTACATTAGTGGACTGATTCCTCAGAAGGTGGCTTCTCTCCTCAGGTTTCTAGAGGCAACGCTGAGGTGCTATGGCTTTTAACATCATAAAACCTAAGTCCTCACCAGTGTGCTCCCTTATATCAGTCAACCACTTAAACTCCATTAACTTTTAGAAAAGGGATTATAGCAAGAAGAATTGGTATAAAATATTCCTCCAAAACCAGAGCTGCATTCTCCTTTTGCACACACAAAGTCTTTGAGGAGAGTGGGCTCATACTTAAGGTACAAAGGTAGTAAGACACAAGGGTAACTAGGTGGTACAGTGGATAGAGTGCTGCACTTGGGGTCAGGAAGATTCTTCTTTGTGAGTTCAAATCCTTCCTCAACACACTCACTACCTGTGTGACTCTGGGCAAGTCACTTAAGCCTGTTTGCTTCAGTTCCTCATTTGCAAAATGAGCTTGAGAAGGAAATGGCAGACCACTCCATTGTCTTTGAAAGAAAACCTCAAATGGAATCATGAAGTCAGACACAACTGAAAAATGACTGAACTACAAAAAAAGTAAGGCACATGTCTAGAGAACATGTGTGGTAAAAGGGTATCTCCCAACTCCTGGCATGGAATGTCCTCATAAAATTCCACTTAAGTATAACTGCTAGATTTTGAGGATCTGTGCATTTCTAGAGTCCATAGGCAGCTGTTCTCTCTTCAAGGGTCATTTCCCCTGAAGCTGCCATTGTCTGATGACTATCTTTCCACATTTGTCTACAGGCTTTTTCTCTATTGGCTACTCTCATGGTCAGAGCTACTGTCTCTGGTGGACTGTACTATTGATTCTAGTTACCAGTGGGACCTCTGATGGTACCTCTGGGCCTCCTGAACTGAAATAGTTACCTGATTTCTCCCTTCTTGGAATTCTCATTCACCTAAGATCAGGAAGAAATAAACACAAAAGAAATAGAGGCTCCATGTGCTCACAACCACCCTTCCCTGTTCCTCCCTAGTTTAAAGGAGTCCTATCTCACTCATAACCAGAAATGGAAAAAGAGACCAAGAAATGGGTGAGAATCTTTTGTATACATACTAAGTTCTGGTTCAGCCCCTTCTGAACCATTGGTTTTTCCCTTTCCACAGTTAGAAGATATTGGCCATCCTACAGTACTAGGGCCTCAGTCATGGCTCGAAACTGGCTTTCAAAATTTCACATATTGGCTTGGATCTTGGCAGTGAATATCTGTGCATGCATGCATTTTTCCCTTAATATGAGCATATTTGCGTATGACTTATTTGCAATAGGTCTCCCCATCCCAATCACTTCTCCTCTTGGATTTGTAATTAATTCCTCCCTTTTATTTTAGTTATTTTTCCTGTAAGCTGTACTGGACCCTGCAACAAGGTTGATGTATTGCTTGAAAAAATTTAAAGTAGTACTAGGCAACCTGTAATCCTCAGGGCTGAATCCAGCCTAGTTCCAAGTAGCCTATTTGAAGTGGACATAACTCACAGATTGTGGCAATATATCTCTTCCGTCTCAGTTTAGGATAATTTATTGGATCTGTTTCATAACTTGAAATGACAGTTCAGGATAAGCCATTGTGGCATGTGCTACTGTATCTAAGGTTGGGAAAGTGGATAGAATTGCAGATACCCTCTCCACCTCCTTGCCAAATGTTAATCTAAAAGCCAGCAGATCAAAGGACAGAGGAGAGTGACTACAAAATAAAAAGTCCGTCAGGTTTTGAGTGAACAAGGGGCCAGCAGTCTGTCCTACAGAGTGTGAAATGACAATTGAATGGTGGAGATGCACGTCCTACCTGCTGGACATGGAGAAGCTTCTGCTTCCACCTACGAGGATTTTTTTTTTTGTTTTGCCATGAAATAACAATACTGTGTGACTTCCTAGTCTTTTTCTCTAACTCCACTAGCACAGCAAGTTGTTCTTACAGTCTCTGTACTGAATAAAGATAATTACTTGTGTTTGGTTTTATTTAATAAAAGAAAAAAAACTGTAGTCCTTTAAATAGACTTTTGTGGCCCATGCTATTACTTTAGATATTTGAGTTAAGCATATTGTTGGTTTTGCTTAGTACAGGAATGAATGATGTGATCTTGCCTTCAAAAAAATAGCATTTTGTCCTTCATTAATATTATCTTAGTGATATGTTTTCTGTTATGAAATATATTGTAGGGTGGGAGGAAAACACTGCATATGTCACAATTATTTCTCATTTCATCTTTTTTCCCCTAGGACTCTGGCTGGGAGTAGAATGGGACAACCCTCAAAGAGGAAAACATGATGGTAGCCATGAAGGGATTGTATATTTTAAATGCAGGTAATTTTTTATTTTATATCAGTGTATTTATCTAAGTGTAGCATAGTAGGGGAAAAGGGAAAGAAGAAAAAGAAACATTTTGGTATAGGTGCAGTAGAAAATGTTATTTTGTATGTAGTGAGGAACACTATTTTTTCTTTGTGGCTATTACTACTGTTGGAATAACCTGTTGCTATTTGTTTTTTGAAATAAGAGATAAAAAATGAAATGAAAACCAACTGACACACAATAATCATGTGAACCTTTTTATGTTTAGACTAGTATCATTCCTAAGAACACCTGCTTTGGTTTTTTCTCTAGATGGGTGCTAAATAAGGTAGCTCAGTCACTTGGGCTTTACCAAATTAAGTTGCCTTTTAAAAAATTATATCATCAATCTACTTGCTCAGATTTGGTTTGGATTATCTCATTATCCTGAAATACTCATGTTGCTTTTTTGGTAGTGGTGTTGAAATGTGACTCATTCTCAATAAGGTGATAGGGCAGGCTGGGGAAAAGAAATAATTTGTTGATATTGAAGAATTGCTTTTTTAATGTTTTATTTTACATCACTGTTATGTCCCAATACTACCTCACTGTAGAAGCCTCTCTTAACAAAGAAATACGCTTAAGCAAAAGAAATTGACACACTGCTCATGCAGCATATGCCTCATTCTCTATTTAGAATTCACCAGTGTCAGTCACAAGGAGGGAGGTATGCCCTATTATCAACCCTCTGAACTAAAGATTCATTGTATTGTTCTTCAACCTAAGGTCTTTCAGCATAGCTTTCCTTTAAGTTATTGTATTCATTGTGTATATTGTTCACTTGTTTCTGCTTATTTGGTTCATCATCCGTTTGTACAAGTCTTCATAAGTCTCTCTTAATTCTTCATATTCTTTGTTTTTTGGTGTAATAATATTCAGTTTCACTCATGAACCACAATTTATTCAGCCATTCCCCAGTCATTGGGCATTTACCTAATTTTCAGTTTCCTGCCAGTACATTTGTTATATATGAAAACTTTTCCTCTACTTTTGACATCCTTGGAGTTATTTAGTAGTTTCTCTTATAACACTCTCGATAACAGATACACCTTTCTGGGTTTTGTTTTGTTTTTTGTGATTTTGTCATCAATCAGCAAGCATTTATTAAGAACCTACCATGTTCCAGGTATTGTGTTAGGTGCAAAGACAAGTGATCTAGTCCTTGGAGACTTACATTCTACTAGGGGAAACAATATATACATAATAGTTATATACAAGAGCTTACATTCTACTAGGGGAAACAATAGTTATGTACAAGATATATACAAAAGGAGTACAAGCTAATCGATGAAGAGGCCTTATTTGCTGGAGAGATCTGGAAAGGCTTCATGTAGAAAGTGGTGCCTGAGTTGAGTCTTGAAGGAAACTAGGACTTCTTAGAGAAAAGAGTAAAAAGGGAGTATGTCCTGGGCATGGAGGACAACTGTACAAAGGCATGGAGATGGGAGGTGGAATGTTGAGTGTGAGAAATAGTAAAAATACCAGTTTGATTACACTATGTAGTGTATGAAGGAAGGTAATATATAATAACCAGTCAGCTAATAAATAATAACATTTATTAAGCACCTGCTATGTGACAGGCACTGTGCCAAACACTGGAGGGTGAAAAGGAAAGCTAAAAGACAGTCTCTGCTCTCAAAGAGCCCATAGTGTATTGGGAAAGACAATGTAAACAACTATGTACAAATAAGATATATACACAATAAAGTTGCAAATAACAAAGCGAAGGCACTAGCATTAAGGGGGGATTCGGAAGGACTTCTAACAGAATGTGAATTTTTATTTTTTTTTTTAAATTCAGTTTTTAAAAATTTCAGCTCTGAATTCTCTCCACATTTCCTGCTGCCACACCTTATTCCTCACCCCATTGGGAGAGTAAGAAAAACAAAACCTATATTGTTATAGTCAAGCAAAACACAATCCTATATTAGTCGTGGACCCAGAACCTCACATATGCTTTAATTTGTACTCGGAGTATGCCAACATTCTACCTGGAGGTGAGTGGGATGTTTCATCATAAGTCCTCTGGCATTGTGGCTCATCGTTGTGTTGGTCATAGTTCTTAAGTCTTTCTTTGTGTAAATTGTTCTCCTGGGTCTACTCAATTCACTTTCTATCACTTCATACAAGTTTTTCCAGGTTTCTCCAAAACCATCTTCATCATTTCTTACAGCACAGTGGTATTCCATCCCATTCATATATCAGGTGTGTATCTGATTTGCCCAACTCTCATCTGTGGCTCCAAAAAGCTGTAGCATGTACAGTGGCCACACCCTGGTAAACTGTCTTGGCAGATGGGCTAAACTAGGTTGAGGGTAACTGACAGGTCTCAAACCCGTCAGTGAGTTAGGGGGATGTCTACCCCAAGCATGTGAAGACTTTCCTGGCGGAATTGGCAGATGAGAACAATTTCCCCTAACAGCCATGAAGATAACTGAAGCAGGTGCTATGAAGCATTTAGAGCTTGGTCAGACATTGAAGATGCCAAGGTCATAAACTGCATCCTGGGTCATCGTTAGTTGTCTTCACTTTTGTCCTGACACTGGATAACTCTGGAAGAAAGAATGTACGTTGTACAACTCTGCCTGACTTAAATCCAGTTTACATGCAAGTCATCACCTGTGATGTCATTGCTCCTCTTTGAAAATGGACAAACAACATATCAACTTAATCATCCATTCCCCAGTTAATGGACACCCCCTCATTTTCCAGTTCTATGCCACCACAAAAGTTGCTGCTATGAATATTTTTGTACATTTGAGTCCTTTTCTTCTTTCTTTGATCTCATCACTGTGTCAGAGAGTATGCATAGCTTAATAATTTTTGTCTTCCAGAATGACTGGACCAGGTGCAGTTCTACTAACATTCCACCAGTGTTTTTCCACAGCCTCATGGGCATTTGTCATTTTTGGTCATCTTTGCCAATCTGTTGGGTGTGAGGTGGTACCTCAGAGTTCTTTTAATTTTTATTTCTCCAATTATTAGTAATTTAGAACATTTTTCATTTGACTTTTGATAGCTTAGATTTATTTCTCTGAAAAACTGTCTGTTCAGATCTTGTTGTAGTTTATAAATTGGGGGTTAGTTCTTATACTTATAAAATTGAATCAGTTTCTTTCTCTCTCTCTCTCTCTCTCTCTCTCTCTCTCTCTCTCTCACCTTTCACCCTGTCCCTCCTCTCAAGTGTTTTACTTCTGATCGCTGCCTCCCCCAATCCACCCTCCCTTCTACCAGTCCCATCCTCTTCTTTTATCCCCATCCCTAATATATTTTATATATATGTGTATATATATATATATATCTAATATATTTTACTGATTAGCATTTCTATTTCATACCCAATACCAAATTGTATGAATAATGAAGATTTTCTTTAGGATGAGGCATGTTTGTAGCCAGTAGAGATGGAGCCAGTAGATGGGAGGAGATTGAAAATGCATGACAGAGTGAGGATAATAAAAGGGGCAGTCTGCTGGAGGAGACCTACTTGAGCAAGTGGAGGAATTAGAGCAGCAGGTAGGTTGCACAGCAGGAAGTTGTGGACTTCCCGCATAGGGAGAAGTCAGTTTGGGGCAGATAGAAATTGTCAGGTCTGGCCACTTGCTACCTTCTCTCAGAGGACATTCTTCCATCCATGATAACTATATATATATATATATATATATAAATTTTCCTATGTATCTTCTGCCCTTTGTGGTGAAACTCCTTGAAAAAGTAATCTGCCATAGATATCTCTTTCTCTGTACTCATTCTATTGTTAGCCCTTTACAATCCATCTTCTGACCTCATCCTTCCAGTGAAACTGCTGTCCAAAGTTAACCAGTGATCTCAGAATTGCCAAATCTAGTGACCTCTTCTCGAGTCATAGAATCCTAGCATAGGGGGAAGTTGTTCAGAGGCAGATCAAAGTTGCCCATCCTGGCCCCTTGCTGCCTTCTCTCAGACTACATGCACAATAGGAGATGGAAGGCACACAGGCGAAAGAAGATCTGGCTCTTCTCCCCTGAGACTAGAGATGAGCTGGCTCCACAAGATGTTAGGTTAGACTTGAGAAAAAATATGGCTACCTATTAATGTGAGATGGGTGAAGGAGGAGATACTGGCAAAAGACATATGAGTGATATGAGATGAGGAAGAATGGAGAAGAGGGAACTCATAGTGAGTGGCCTCAATTTTTTTTCTGTAAAATATTAGTCAAGGTTCTCAATGGAGAGTGTGGGTAGAGGGAGTTACGGACATTTTAAGGAGATATGAAAAGCTTTGGAAAAGCCATTGTAGAGAGTGAGATAGTGAAGTGATAAGGGAGGTATAATAGGATTTCCTAACAGCATTGAGGGCCCAATTGAGTTTGTGTAACATAAATTTGTAGTGAACCCAGTCAGAATGGTTACATGATTTTTTCCACCTTCCTTCAGGAGCATGTGTGTAGGAGTGAAGGTGGCAGTTGGTCGAGAGCAATCCAAGACTGAATGTTGGTGGGACACAATTGGCCATATGAAAAGGGGCTAAGGACTCAAGAGAAGAGGACAATGTAAAGTTGAATTGGTTCACCAAGGGGGAAAGAAGGGGAAAAGGGGAGAGAGTAGTGAGTATAGAGGTGATGACCTGGGAGAGAGCTGAGGGGTTGAGGAATTAAAGGTCATGATATGTACAGAAAGCAAGATTAGATAGGGGAAGGCAGAGGAAGAGGTAGAAAGCCAATAAATAATGGTCAGATAAAGGGCCCTTAAAATTATTGAACATGGAAGTTGTGCATTTGTGAGTGATGGCAAGATCAAGAATATGACCGTCTTCATGTGTGACTGAGATGGGTGGAGGAATAAGTAATAGAAAGTGAGTAGATTGAGGAACTGAGTCATTAGAGTGTTGAGGGATAATCAATATGTATAGAAGTCCTCAAGTATGAGGGGAGGAATTGGGGAGGAGGGGAAAATTGTGAGTCAGGTACAAAACTCATTGAGGAAGGAAGGGGA